AAAGACAATACTTTATTGAACCTTTTCTGATAAGAAGTGTGCGCTGCAAACGCGAGCATTTTTATGATCGTTTCTGTTCAGTCTGCTCGTTTTATCGCGTTTAACCACAGCTGTCGTTGTTTTGTTTGTCTGGCAGTGGCAGCAGATATGCGATCAAATTTCTAATTTGAGGCTGTATTACGTCGATTCTGGCACCCAACATCACAACAAGATTGTGTAGATCCTTATGTAGCCGAATCTGCGCTGCTTTGAATGGGCCGCCTCCAGTTTCCCCTTTGTTTTGCTGCCTCCAGCTAGCGCTGTGACGTCAGCTGACCCTAGTTACCTGTGGTTGGCCTGGCCGTGCGTCACTCAGAAAACAACAGGCCAATCAGAAGAGAGGCTCATGAATATTAATTAGACAGGCCAAACTCGACCTGTTCTCAGCAGAGCTCCTGAGAGAGGAGCTGTAAAAATATATTGAGATGGTTTTTGGTACTTATACCGCAAATATATATCTTAAGGACATCGAAACCTAAAATAAAACTCCAGAAAGTTGTAAAATATGTGACCTTTAAGTATCTTTTGAAATAGAGTTAAATGTATGATGTCTGCATTCACCAAAAATACATCAATAAAATAATAATAATAATAAAATAAATACATACATACATAAATAAAATAAAAGGACTGTTTTGGGTAGGAAAAAAACATCGATAACATCAAAACTGATTTTTTTTTAAATACTTAAGAAATTAAGAAATTGGGTTTAAACATTTTTTACTATAAATTTTTATCCTAATTATACACAATACTTGAATTTCTAATGTGTATTTTAAGCCTAATGGAAAGCCAGCAGACCCACACAGAACCCATCCATATGGAGATGAAGGTATATATTTTTTTATATATATTTGATATTACTTATATAAGTACTGGAATTATAATTATTTTAGCATGAATATATATGAATGTTATTCTGTTTTGTCCAATCAGATTTTGAGTTTTCTGCTGACAGCGCCTCTAGCAGTGAAATTGCTGGTCATTTCCACAGGAGAAGCACAAACACACCTGGTGGTAAGAATCAAGCTGCACACTGAATTCATGTGACATATTGTACATTGAACCCTTTTCTCATTTCCGGGGTTCTTTGAAGCGCAAGTCGTCATTGTTGGGTAAACTTTTATAGTGGTGAACGGAAACAAACTCAATTTGACATTCCCATTTGTCCAATAGGAAAATAAAAATGATAGCATTTCTATGACCTTACAAAAGAGTATAGAGAGATTGATTCTATTAGTTGGAAGAGCATAAGAAACAGTCACACAGCAGCGTCAACTAGTTTTATGTAACACAATACAGGTGTAAAAGCACATTAAATAAAAAATACATTTAAATATAAAAAACTTTGCTAGATTAACAGTGTTAATAACTGTGGAAACATGTCATCACAGTCTGTCAAAAACATCCATATAAATTTACATTAAGTGTGCAAGTGAGTAGAAAAAATACATATTATTTTATGGTTGTTTTCATGGTGTCTCATTTCAATATCATAATTACTTTAATTACTGCAGCTGGTGTTGATAATCCAGCGTTCATACCTGAGATGGACACCTCTCCACCCATGCGAAACCCACCCTGGCAAACAGAGACAGGGAACAACACGGCTGTGGCACCTTCCCAGAGAGCTCAGGGACGATTGCCCTGGACGTCCACCAACCTGAGACATCTAGCACTGCTGAGAATGAGCACTCGCTCCACAGACTCTTTCGTGATGGCTGATGCTTCGCTTGATGAGGAAGCACCTGAGGAAAAGCCCGGAACACATCATACTAGATTGTAATCTGATATATTTCCATCCGCTCTCATTAACCTGCCAAACATGCGATTAGGTAAATCCTTTCAAACTGAGACTGTGTTTCATTTTAGGTGGTTATTATGTCATGAGCCCACAGATTAGAGAATCATGGTGTTGATAGTATATTCATTACATAGCATCGTATAACTTGAAGTACTGCTGTGGTTTTACCTACTTATATATAAAAAACAGGGAAGAGAATAAATACGGATTTAGAAGAGACATTGTCATTGAAATACTTATGTTTGTGGTTATGGAATGTTTCTTTATACAAATCCAAGTTGTTGTGGAAGCTGTTATAGCACTTTATTGCACTGAAAGCATGCTAGAAAATAGAAAACATGGAGCTCAAAAGACAAAATCATTATACTCTTAAACATATTTGATCAAATAATAACTGCAAGCACTTGTCTATTGGTTCTGTATTCTGGCACATCTTGATATTTTTTGACCTTGGGCATGTTGGTCTATATACATTTTTAAACTCGGCATGTTGTATATGGTTATTTATTATTGCATAGTCATTCTGTGGGTGCTTCTTTGTAGTATCACAATGTCTGTTTCTGCATTTCTGTAATCTTACAATGATTTATTTTTGTGTTTTACTCAAAGCTATTAATGTTTTATTAATCGAATTAAGACCATTAAAATGTATGTCGTTAAAATAATAGTTTATAAGTAACTTATTCATATGTGAATTTCATGTTTTATGAGAACTGGTGAAATCTGAACTTGGAATTGGTTAATAGTGTCTGATAAAATTTAAATAGTTACTAATGAGCAAATAAAAAAATGCAAAGAGCACAAGAAAAAATGATTATAAATCCTTTGAGTTTTAAGCTGATTTGAATTCTGTAAATATTATATTCCTCTTATATTAATCAATTCTGATATGACTGATATCAAGATATCCATTGCAGTAAAGGAAACAAATGTATAGCCTCTAAGCAAAATAAATTTAAACATTCAATGAAGCATTTTTGAAACAATAAAGTGCAATTCATTATTATGTGTACATAGCAGTAAGCTTGTTGTGTAAATCATTACACAAACAAAATTGTAAAAATCACAGAGCAGGATTTGAACAAACACACAAAACACCCATAAACCCTTAAAACAGAACAATTTCCCATAAACCCCGGACTTATTTACACAACACAGCATGACATAAAGCAACGCATAACCTTAGCAACAAACTACAGTATTTATCAATTTACAGCAACTATAAAAGTGGAGAGTTATTGTGTCACTAATCTTGGTAGATTTAAAAGTAATTATACCTTTTTTGGGGGGTTGAAATGCTAAACAGTTCAATCTCAAGGGGAAGTTGTGTTGTTTTGCCTTTAGCCTTTCCACTTATTTTTCAGTTCAGTAGGCAGTACAGCTGCCATCTCAGGATCTATGATTAAAACCGGCACACACACATGGGTACAAGCCGTACTGATCACTTCCCTTTTTTTTACGTCACACTCAGACAGGACCATCTAAAGTAACAGTTTAACTCAAATGTGTGGAAACTTTTTTTTGTTTTTTAAACTGGTGTATACTAAAGTCATCGGAACTCAGCAATATGATTTCACAAAACAGGAAGGTTTGACATGCTTATAAAACTAATAATAATAATACAAATATAACGAAAAAAGAATTTAAGGCGTAGTTAACCCAAACATGAACAGTCTGTCATAATTTACTCACCCTCATGTTGATCCAATCCCGTTTGACTTTCTTCTGTCTAACATTAAAAAAGATGTTTAGCAGAATGTCCAGGCTGCTCTTTTCCATACAAAATAATTGGATGGTGACCAAGAATTGAGAAAGAAAGTCAGGTCAGATTTTGGGGTGAACAATCTCTTACATTTGTCTGAATGAAGATATGTCTTTTGGAAGTTTGCCAGCCAGCCACTGAACCATACTTTAATAAAATGCTCTCAACTTCCACCTTCTAATATACTGTTAAAGGTCAACATGTATTTTAGTAGAAAGTCTCACAATGCAATTTTCAATAAACATCGTGTAGTGTCTGGACGGAATCTTTGTACCAAAATTTGTCTGAAAATTCTTCAAAGTAACAATGCAGCAGTACAGCCTGTTAAAGTTGGCCGAACACTAACCAGTGTGAAGTGCAAGGGAAACTTTTCAACGGAAGCAGAAAGAGTAATCCTCATAAACGTGACAAAGTAACAACAGTCCAATGACGTAGATCTCAGCCCCCTTTCTGTGTAACAAATTAAAGGCTGACTAGAAGTTTCAGCACTGCTCTTATTACACTCTTACTCTACCCTGATTGAACCACTGCTCTCACCTGGACCACAAACACAGAGGGTCAACTGATGGAAAGACAGCCAAGTCACTTAGAGAGGGATGCACTTTGAAAATGACTGCAGATTTAAAGGAAAACTAACTAAAAGGGGAAACTGTAACTTTGTCTCACCAAGGACTTCAGGACAAGCAAGCAGAACAAAGCACACTGGGAACCTCTAATGGACTATTGTGAGATTCTGTGAAGGACAGCTATAGTACACAGTCTGGAGATGAGAATGATGCTATAAGTGCATCTTCATCACTCATCTGTTGCAATGGCAAGCTCTGTTTATCTCTGCCTGTTGAGGGCAGTTTTCCTGGTGTGCTTTGTTAACCCTTTAATCCAAGGACTAAGTGGAGATGCAAATGTGATCCAGAATCCTCATCATCAACTGGAAGAGAATCTCACTGGACTCCCAATTGTCACATTTAAATGGCATCATGTTCAGACCCCATACCTGGTGATAATTTGGGTATTTGTGGCTGGATTGGCAAAACTATCAGGTATGTAGCTTGAACTATGAAGTAAACACTTACTGACAGTTAACAAGTAAGAAAGTAGATTTGTTGTGTACCATATCCAATGATTAACTTGTACTAGGAAGTTTAGTAACAATAGAGTGTAATTTGACAACTGTAAATTGAGTACAATAGCAGTCCTGCGGAGGCTCAGAATCACATCAAATAATGTTTTTAACATATTGCTATGTAAAGGGTTAATAATGTAGCACAAGGCCTGTGATTAACATATTTGTATTCTTATCCTGCTTCTTTTATCAGTATGGAGTTATTAGTATCTGTTCTCTCCTCACGTGCTGTTAATGTTTGTGTCGATAAAAAAAAAAAAGATTTTTTCTGGTTTCATCAGTTTGATGTTAAATATGGATGCTTCTGCAAGAAAGAGGAAGAAAAATAGTAAAATAATATGTGCTGTTATTGCAAAACATTTTATAGTAAGAAAAACAATTTAAAATAAGTAAAAAACAAAATAAATTAAAACTAATTAACAACTTATAACAGCTTCCAAATACTTGATCCAGTATGATAATCATAAAAGAATCCTGTTAGTTTTACGTTTGGCCTATTTAAAAATAAATCAATCAATCAGAAAATCTACTTGCATTATAATTTTGGTGCATATCATCTGGCAAATGCATGAATGTAAATGTATAATTGTATGTCATTTTAAATTGCATTAACCATTTTGCTGAATTTTTGTGCATTGCTCATGACAGTTACATCTTGTGAAAATAATATTTAAAGCTCACAAAACATACTTATGGATACCACAAGAATGCTTGGATAATCTGAGAAGATGCCCCAAATTACTTCAAATACCAATCTTAGGGAGCGGCAATCTAAACCAGTCATTATTATATCTTTATCTTTATATCTTTTGTGGATTAACCTCATCCACAAATTGAAAATAATTGGCTACAAACGTTGTCAACCATTTTCTCTCGGTCTCTTCCTCTCTATCCAGTGGTTGAACTAAACCATCATGTCACCAGTGTGCTCCCAGAGAGTGGTCTGCTCATCATCATGGGCTTTATTTTGGGAGGAATCGTCTGGGGAGCAGACAGGGCACAGACTTTTAAACTGCTTCCTCCCACTTTTTTCTATTACTTGTTGCCCCAGATCATCTTGGATGCAAGTTACTTTATGCCCAACAAGCTTTTTTTCAGCAACCTGGGTGCCATTCTCATTTACGCCATCTTCGGAACGTGCTGGAATGCAGCTACAGTGGGCCTCTCGCTTTGGGGCTGCTATGAGGCTGGAGCGATGGGTACATTTTGTTTATAACATAAACCTTTATATTTTGGAATGCAGAGGATTCCAAATGAATTTGACAGTTTCTATAATCATCAGGTAACTTGGACATCGGTCTCCTGCAGTTTCTATTGTTTGGCAGTTTAATCGCCGCGGTGGATCCAGTGGCCGTGATTGCTGTGTTTGAAGAAGTGCATGTGAATGAGGTGCTCTTTATCCTGGTATTTGGAGAGTCGTTGCTCAATGATGGCGTCACAGTGGTGAGTCTCAATTTCCTTAAATGCTCTAAATGCCATTATGCTCAATGAGTATATCTATCCACACAGTATGTAATCATCTTTTTGTCTCTCTTTTGTAGGTGCTTTACAATGTATTTGATGCTTTTGTTGCTCTTGGAGGCCCAAGGATTGACGCCGCAGAGATTTTTAAGGGCATATGTATGAATAATCAACTCAAACATAATGATGAACATAACAATATACATTAATTTAACTACCAGATTTATGTATTTTGCTTTTCACCTCTTACAGTGTCATTTGTTGTGGTGGCTTTTGGAGGCTCGTTTCTCGGCATTGGGTTTGCCATCCTGCTGTCGTTGCTGACAAGGTGCACCAAACACATTCAGATCATCGAAGCCGGCTTTGTCTTTGTGGTGGGCTACCTGGCTTACCTGACAGCAGAAATGCTCTCCCTCTCGGCAATACTTTCGTAAGAGTCTCTTGAACAATGCAACACATATAGAGAATATGTAAAGTAATACAACACCAGTACTGCAGAAGCAATTCATTCAACTCATGACTTTCTGTGTCACAGAATCACCTTCTGCGGTATATGCTGTCAGAAATATGTGAACGCCAACATGGATGAGAAATCGGTCACAACGGTCCGTCATGCCATGAAGTTGCTTGCAAACGGCTCAGAAACCATGATCTTTCTATTCTTGGGTGTTACAGCCATTGATACAGAGATCTGGGTTTGGAACACAGGTTTCATCCTCCTCACCCTCCTCTTCGTCTTCATATACAGGATCATAGGTGAGTGCAGTTGTGCACTGTAAAAACTTGCTACAATTTTGGGCTTTTTATTTGATATAATTAAACTGATAATCCTCTCTAGTAAATACCATTTTGGTTCACAACATTCAATTATATATACTTTGCACATTTTTTATTTTCAGAATGGCAAAATGGGGCAGTGCTACAATATTTATTCACAATCAGCTAAATCATAAACTTATCATAAAATATTAATTATTAAACTTTTTCAAAATATTCATAATAATATCAATCAAAAGTTGATGAGATCTATGCTCATTTTAACATTTGCTGGTCGTGCTTGACAGGATTAGTCAAGATTATCCACCCATCACAAAAAAGACAGAAAGAGCAGTGTTTATTTATTTTTTTAAATAGAAAAATCACATTGTTCACAAATATTATTTTAAATAATTATGCTTGCGATGTAGCCTAACAAAGAATAATAAAGCATTTAAAATCTCCCAGACATTTCCAAAGATCTCTCTTTCAAAGTATGACTCTTGGATGTGTTTTTATGATATTTGCAGGTACCTTCTTGTTCACCTGGATGTTGAACAAGTTCAGATTGGTTCCCATCGAGGTCATTGACCAGGTTGTAATGAGCTACGGTGGCCTGCGGGGGGCAGTGGCGTATGGATTAGCAGCCTTGTTAGACGAAGACAAGATCCCAGAGAAGAATCTGATGATTAGTACCACACTCATTGTGGTGTATTTCACTGTCATTCTTCAGGTTAAAACCTTATCCATCACTCTTATCATAATTATGAGACTCTGAATGCTTGGATTATTTTTGTACAACCTAACCTGTAGTGATAACGTCTATGTGGTTTCTTTTTAGGGAATCACAATGAAGCCATTGGTTCAGTGGCTCAAGGTCAAAAGAGCAGCTCATTCAGACTTAAAACTTATTGAGAAACTAAACAATAGGGTAACTATTTGACACTATATGATTTTCACACTTACATAATGTATACAATGTTGCACATATGTGTGTGTATGTATTTGTTTAAATATAATTTATATATTATATGTACATACATTTTTTAAATATTTAAAGGGGTCATATAATGTTGCTAAAAAGAACATTATTTTGTGTATTTGGTGTAATGAAATGTGTTTATGCGGTTTAAGGTTAAAAAAACACATTATTTTCCACATACTGTACATTATTGCTTCTCCTCTATGCCCCGCCTTTCTGAAAAGCATAGATTTTTACAAAGCTCATCGTTCTAAAAAAGCGAGGTGTGCTCTGATTGGCCAGCTATCCAGTGCGTTGTGATTGGCCGAATACCTCAAGAGTGTGACGGAAATGTTACGCCCCTTACCATATTGTGATGGGCCTAGCGAAGAGACAAAATAGTTAAAACCCATTATAAACAAGGCATTTGTTGTATCCAGTGGGAACATAATTACGGATTATAATGATTTATAGTACTGTCAACAACAAGCACTACTCTACTCTGCTCAAAACTTGCGTTTGAATCGTCAGTGGCAAATTCTTTAAATATGAAAACGTACTTACAGTCTGTGAGTCAGAACAGCCGGCATTGTAGTCTACTCTACCAGGATCAGGAAACAGTCCTCCATAAAATGTGCTGCACACATCTGAATATTTGGGTTGAACTGTTCTGGAACAGTGTTGTAAATACAACTTAACCACTGATTTCTAGTTGTGTCCTCTTTTGGAAGACCAAACAAAGTAGTTTCACTTTCACAAGGAAACACACAGCGTCACACATGGCGGCCTTGAGTGAGCGAAGGCCTGCTTGAGTGAGCAGAGGCGGGTGGGCTTGAGAACGGCGCGGCTGGCGGATTCGACGAAGGAGCTGCTTGCGGCAGCCACATGTGACGACCCCGGGCTGGACTCCGCTTCGTCCACGGTGAAAGCCGATCCGGTGATCCACAGCGCGAAGTTGATGTATTTCCTCAGCGACCAGCACGGATCAGCTCCAGGCATGACGAAGCAATATCGTCCTCTTTTGGAAGGCCAAACAAAGTAGTTTCGCTTTCACAATTAAACACACGGCAACAACAATACTACAGCGAGAATCAAAGTTACATCTTCTTTCTTTGCGTGCACATTTGGGCGGCGTTATGCAAATCTTCCCACATAGTGATGTAGATATGTGGGGGCGTGTTAGAACGAGGCGTTTTAGGTAGGCGTGGATGACTCTTAACTTTTATAAAGAATATCTCTTTGGATTTGAGACTTTAGTCTTTGCAACTTTACAGATCTTATTTATGCACCAAGAGCTTGTAACACTCCAAAGAGAAAGGAAAAATGTAAATCGCATCATATGACCCCTTTAACTCATCCATTTATATGCTCATTTTAATGGTTATAGAAAAAGTTTTAGTTTTATTTATATGTTTATTCATTTATGTTTTTTTTTGTATTAGTCATGCTTTATGGTGTTTTTATAGGCATTTGACCACATTCTAGCAGCAGTGGAGGACATTTGTGGATGTATAGGAGATAATTGGTGGACCAGAGGGTATGTTTTCCTCAGTTCTGTGGATATACTTAAATATAAATGAAAAAATAATATAAATATATTTATACACATCTCTTCTTTGATCTCTCTCTCAGTTGGAATAGGTTTGAGGAAAATTATATCAGCTGGTTATTGATGAAACCTAAGGCCAGAAAGAACAGAGACTACCTATTTAGTATCTTCCACAAACTCAATCTGGAGGATGCTATTAACTACGTCAGTGAGGTAAGAGCACAGATTGGTGTTATATATTCCACAATATTGTCATTTGTTTGGTTTTCTCAAATTGCATTTGTTTCCTTTAACAACAAAGTTTGCGATACTTTTACACACAATCATAGTAGATTGTAATGCAATCCATTTGCTAGTTGTGTACTGTCAACAATAAAGCTCATGAGAAATGTATGTAACCTCTTTCTTTCTTCATGTAGGGTGAACGCCAAGGTTCTCTGGCCTTCAATCGTAGTGATGAAGCAGCCAACGTAGATTTCAAGAAACAATTTGGTTCAGAATTTGCAGATGTGATGCCTAATATAATGGTTGATATGTCAAATTACGAGCTTGGGATCGAACATTTTCCAGTAACCTCCATTGTGTAAGTGAACTGACTGCTTAAATCACATTTAAACTCAATTGTGCAATTCATGTATCAGTTGTAATCAATCATAAAACAGTTATGAGTAATGAAGGAGAGGGATTGTTACTGTCTGGACAGAGATTTACATTCGGTACAAAGAATCTTTGCCAGGGTTACAAACCCTAAAGTGTTCAAATTTGACAAATAAATTCCTAGATGGTCAAATGTGGCAATAATTGCAATTGTTTTATCTTTTGTAAATTAGAAAAGACACCATTCCCTCTGTATCCCTGGACATCCATGGGCAAGACAGGAAGAATGCGATGGATGACATCAATGCCCATCATCTTCTACAGCAGCACCTGTACAGGAGCAGAAAGCATGTATGAATTGCTCTTCTCACACACACACACACACACACACACACATGCATAGAGTTTGCATCTCATTTGACCCATCATTTTCTCTCTTTCTGAGCAGCACCGTCACAAATACAGTCGCAGTCACTTCAGCATCAACCAGAATGAGGACGAGGTGCAGGAGATCTTTCAGAGGACCATGAGGAGCCGCCTCGAGTCCTTCAAATCAGCTAAGATGGGTGTCAATCCTGCCAAAAAGATCACAAAGCACCACAAGAAGGAGCTAACGCATAAGGTATTAGACCTTCATGACACTCTTTCACCTGGATCACTCAATTATAGTATTGCATCTCTTAACTCTCAATTTATATACATATACTTTTTTTTCAGATGCCTAACGGACACCCAGACACCACAGGCCACCTATACGGAGATGAAGGTAACAATATTTTTTATTAGCATCATTTATTAGTATTTATGACACTAAGCAGCTAGCTAAAAAAATTATTAATTTGAAATAAATATTAATAAAATATATGATAAATATATTAATAAATATGATAATGAATTCAATAATAGTGTACTAAATAAATAAAGCTGTATAAATACATATAAATTATAGATATTTAAATAATTTATACATTATATTTAAATCATATATATAATAAATTATACGCATCCATTTACATATGAATGTATATTTTATTTGGTTCAAGTTAATGCTTTGGAATCTAATGAAATTAATAATTACATAAAAAGTTGTAGTTAAAAAAAATTAAAACAAACCTCCTCAAGATGGTTTTCTTTTGAGTAAATGTTCCTTTACATTAAAAATGGCAGCTTTCCACTTTTTAATAAACTTTCTTCTCTAATTATCAGCCTTTGACAAAGCATGATTTAGTGTTTTTAGTTGACAGTGCTGTGGGGAGCGAGACTGGTGCTATCAATAGTACTTTCATGAGAGACACGTATGCAGTGGGAGGTAAGAAAAGAGTCTGAACAGATGTTGTTTTGTACATAAAGAGCAATAAATCTATAGGACTACAATATAGTTTGCATGAGTAACACATTTGTGTAAGTAAGAAGTTGAAGGTTTGTGTATGTTTCTTCCATATCTCATTGAAGCTGGCATAGAGAATCCAGTATTCTTGCCAGATATGGACAGTCCCTCTCACAGCCTACCTTGGCTAATGGAGACTGAGGCTGTCGCACCTTCCCAGAGGGCCCAGCGACGCCTGCCCTGGACACCCAACAGACTCCGGCGTCTTGCACCCATGAGGATCAGCACCTGCTCCACAGACTCCTTCCTCATGGCTGATGTTTCTTTAACTCTGGAGGAACATGAGGAACAGTCCCAAACAGACCATGAAGAAATGTGTGTACACTTCCAACTGTTAATCCACACTTACCTGAAACAAATACAGATGTATTGTTACTGACCATGTGTTTTTATGACTACAGGTGACCGGTCTTTGACTAGGACAATAATGCAGCGTGCCACAAAGCACATCCGCAGTCATAGAAGTGCCTGTCTACAGATTTCAGTCCAAAAAAAAACAAAACAAGGTGGAACTGGAGAGTATCTGCAGGAAATCCCACTGAAACTGCCAAATGCCAATGAAATCACATGGACCAAAATCTCATTGATGTTCCCATGGATGAATCCATTTAGGGCAACATGTGCTATTGAGTGCATACAGCAGTAGAAAAAGAAAAGCAAATCGTTTCAAAATTTTTCCTAGTGATGCACTTGCCTTTTCCAAATTTGGTATGGTTTTTTAAATTTAAACACTTTGTGAAATAGTTTGTCAAAAACTGTTTCCTATATGTGCTGTCATATTTCCCATTTAAAAAGGAAGCTTGGCCTTTAAAATAGCCAATAACCTTCAGTTTACATCACAGCCATGAACTTAATTTGCTACTTGCTATCTCTAGTCATTTTTATAATGCTGAAAAGTTTTTTTTGTCAACTTTTGAAGTAAATAGACTATAGATGGTCTCAAAGCTAATAGACATGAACTGTAAGCCTCCTATAATTTTAATCTTTAAAAAATGGTTGAGAATGTCCAGTAATGCTCATGTAATATGATGGAAACTTATTTCTGCCATGGAATCAGAAAATAAAAAAAGGTAATTGCGATTACTTTTACTCACTGCCTGAGAATTATTTAACAGAATTGTGAGATATAAATGATTTTTTTTTTAAATTTTATTGTGAGTTTACATCTCACAATTCTGAAATATAAACTCAGAACTGTGAGGGGGGGGAAAAATCTGAATTCTGAGGTAAAGAGTCACAATTACCTTTGAAAATGTTATTTTTATTTATTTTTTATTCTGTAGTGGAAACAGCTTCCAATATAATATGTGACCCAGGACCACAAAACCAGTCTTAAGTGTCAATATTTCAAAACCTGAAAGCTGAATAAATAAGCTTTCCATTGATGTAAGGTTTGTTAAGATAGGACAGTATTTGTTCGAGATGCAACTATTTGAAAATCTGGAATCTGAGGGTGCAAAAAAATCTAAATACTGAGAAAATCACCTTTAAAGCTGTCCAAATGAAGACCTTAGCAATGCATATTACTAATCAAAAATTAAGTTTTGATATATTTACGGTAGGAAATTTACAAAATATATTCATGGAACATGATCTTTACTTAATATCCTAATGATTTTTGGCATAAAAGAAAAATCTATCATTTTGACCCATACAATGTATTTTTGGCTATTACTACAAATATACTCCAGCGACTTAAGACTGCTTTTGTGCTCCAAGGTCACATATAGCGAGGGCAAAGCCATGTAGTCTTTCACAAGATCCAGTTTGTAGTTGAATTTTGTAATGGCACTTTACCACAGTGATGTCACCTCTATAAGGCACATTCTTCCCTGCATTGCAATATGGAACTAAATTAATAAGGAAGTATCAAGTAAATTATTAAATAAAGTGAGTTATTCACTCACTTAGAATTCAGCTATATTAGTATTTTAAACTGTATGTGAGTGAATTGAGGTGTTAACTGTTACAAACTATGTTTGTGTAAGGAAAAGATCATTTTAAATCAATGAGTTGTACACTCTAAAAAATGCTGGGTTAAATACAACCCAGTGCTGGGTAAAATAGGGACAAACCCAGCAATTGGGCTGTTTTGACCCAGCGGTTGGGTTAAATGTTTAACCCAACCTTCTGGGTAGTAACCGAACCGCTGGTTCAAAACAACCCAATTGCTGGGTTTGTCCCTATTTTACCCAGCACTGGGTTGTATTTAACCCAGCATTTTTTAGAGTGTATCTTGTCGTTCAAATAATGTATTTCTTGGGGCATTGTTCTTTTCTTTGTGGGATTAATACAATATTTATCAACATTTCTATATATATAATCTTGTTAGCCATTTTCATTTCACCCTTCTACATTAGTACAATTACAATGGCTATTATTGACATTTATTAGAGGATATTAATCTGAAAAAATAATTATATGCTATGTATAATGAATGAAATATATTTTTGTAATATTTATATTTACCTTTAATTTATTTTTATTTCAGTTTTAGTAATACTTCTCATTTTCATAGTTAATAATCTAATACTACATTTTATTTCAGCTTTATTTCAAATACCCAAAACTGATTTGTAATAGTTAATAACACTGAACTACATACTCCTTTCTTGCACAGTAAACAAAAATGCATGTACATTCAATATTTATTCATATGTATAATTTTTGTTCAAGACAAACAGTTCAAAAGACATATCCATCAAAGTTTGCATACATACAGTTTTAATTCAAACATCGGCAATTAAATAGAACAAACAAATAAAAAGACACAAAGAAAGACCACAGTTAGAAAGGTGGAGATAAAACAAAAGAGACAAATATATATTTTAAAACGGGACAATTCTGTTATCAATTCATTCATATTATTTCATCATACTTTAACTAAACCATTATATCAGAGCACTGAACATGTGTTGCATCACACTGGAAAGAGTGCTGAGTGCTGAAAGAATCCTATGAAGCTCCTTCAAGATGAGAAGAAGCTTGCATAGTATGATAAATCTGATACATAATGTGCTGTATTTAATCACAGATATAGATATCCTCATTTTGTAATCACCAAACCATCATGTTAATAAATGTAACAGCTGGATCTGTGAAGTTCATTTATGAAAAGGTGTCTAAAACTGGAATTTAGGCCAAATATTAGTGACATTACCAATTCCATTATTGCTATTTCATCACATATATAGAACACAGATTTTTCTTGGTTGCTAAAAATGGTTTGAAGACAAAAAAATAATGGGAAAACGCTGCTTGGGATGAGTTTCCAGGCGTCTTACGGTAGCTTGCCTGGTCAGTGCTTGATCTATTAGTTGTGCAGTGCCAAATCCTTACAAAAAGTAGCTATAACCCTTGTAGAAAGTTTGGTCCAGAGACCCTGTAACCGGCAAGCTCTGTGATTTAGTGTGGTCTTGGCGAATAAAGAGGCACAATCACACCCACACATACAGTTTTAACACTCTTGAACACGCATTATACAGCATATCATATCAATATAACTTCAATATAGGCTAGTTGGGCCCTTAAAAAGGTCGTATTTTATCTGTCTGAGAACAGCACCATCAGAAAAGGCACATTCCACTAACTCGCCTGCCCAAAGGATGAATCTTCACCTCAGCAAAGTCAGAAAAATAACATCAATCATCAAATACTCTAAGCTTGAAGAAAACTATTTATCATTTTAGCTCAGACACAGTTATTATATTGAGTTCAAGAGGACGCTTGTGCTTGTGTGTGAATCATCCTGTTTTATCAACTAAATGGAAGTGTTTGAGGCGGTACCTTCATGTTTAAGTCAATAAAAGTAATAACGCGAGAGGACTGAAGGTTCATCCATTTGTGAACTACATAATTTCACTCATAAATACCACAGGACAATGCAGAGACACTCACGAACGACTTTCTTTTGGAAAACAAGACGAGGCGAATCTACTAGTCAATAGTCTATTGCATATTCGCCCAATTATTAGTCACTATGATGATTAACATCACCATTATCATCTTTTGCTTATCTTTCATAGACTTTGTTAGCAAAAATAATTAATGTGCATTATGCAGTTACATTATTTAAAAATATACAAATATACTTCTCCTCGGAATTAAAAATGCTTTAAGGTTTCCACAGTCCAGCTTTAAGCCAAGGGGTGGAGAGTGTCGCATCACAGTTTTAGTGGGAGGTGTCATTTAAGCCACACCCACCAACTAAAATAGCCCCACCCCTATGTAATGCCCCACCTACAGGACTTTTTTAGCAATTTATTCCGTGGCAACTTCAGAAGGTTGTATATGTGGTCATTTAAAGCCAAACAGGTTCTGCTGATCATTCCCCTTTTTCAAGTAAGTTCAAATGCTGGTAGCGGCAGAGAAGTAACGGTTCTCAACACATCAAAACAAAAAAAGAGCACCGAAGCAATTTGACATCTGCGCAAGGTTTTTTTGTTTGTTTTGTTTACAGAGCTAAACTCCAGTTAACTTGCTAAAACTGACATTTTATTTCAGCTGTTTGAATATAATATCACGTATGTGGGTTTGGTAATTCACCAACACGATTTTTCTTAGAAATTAACAAGCTAACCAAAAATTACACCCTGAAAAACTTCCAAACAAGGCTCTGAAGATCTACATTTTTTTCACCTGGTGAAACACTACATACATTAAAAAAATGATATAATTTTCGCAGTAAATGACGAGTAGACAGATTAGCGTAGTTAACATCCCCGAATTACAGCACCACACCTCTTAGCACCTTGGGAGTTTCGCCCAATTCTGAGACCGTACAGCTTTTTGTTTGTAATTGCAGCAATATATTTGTCAGTCATTTCTCAGAATCTCTCGTTCTCTCCACATACAAAAGCAGATGTAGTTTATGTAAAATAGCAGCTACACTGGTCAACACGTATTTGTGGCTATAGAGCAGAAAGACCACAGTGCCATTCACATTAAGGGCGATGGTAAAGTGTGCCAGAGGCCACGGAGTTAACAAATATAACCCTCCACCTACCCTTCTACAATCCAAATGCCTTAACTCAATACTCCCTGCTACCCCTGTTTTCTGAGGCACATTGGTTTGGTTTGAGTGGAATGCAGTTGAACATACAGGGGCTATGAACAAGCAGGGGTTTGAAGAAAAAGGTTCAAAAGAAAGGCTAAACATTTTTTTTTTGAAAATTCAAACCTTCAAAAGAACGCTTCAAAGTTCAAAATAGAGTTTGAAAGTTCAAAAGACAATTTAAAAACTCAAAAGATAATGTCCAAATGTTTAAAACAAAGTTCAAAAGAAAATGACCTAGGACTTGGTTTAGTCATTTCTATATTAGTTCAACTATTCAAATGGCCTTAACAATAAAAAAGACCTTAATAACAACCGTTTCAATAGCTAAATTTCTTTCCAACAAATGTACATGCCACTTACTTTTAATATATATTTAAAACATACCTCAATAGAATTGCGTTTTAGGGATATTTCCTATAAAACAGGCACTTTGTCTCATTTGACTGTTTACATGAAAGGTTTGTCCAGGATTTCTTGACAGCAAACCGAGTCTTTCCCATAAAACATACCCATGAGAGTAACCATCTCCTCTGTAAACTCAACCCAGCATTCCAGCCATAAAACACATGATCCATTTCAATTCAAGTTCTCTTACACAATGCCACATACAACAAAACCTTCAAATTAAAGCATTCACTCATAAGGTATGGTTTGCATTGTATAATGAAAGTCTACGACAGAGCCGTGAATAATTGGCTTATTGCACTAAAAGGCTTATGGGACAGTGTCTGTCAGAGTTCACAGGGCTAAAAAGCAAAATTAACAAACTGTTAAGTTAAATAGATAATTTACAGATGCGCTATTGACGATGCAAGTTAAAAGCAACATTATAAATAAGCTCAAAGATCATAAATGAGAATAAAATGTCTAACAGCTGTAAAGTTAATATTAATGGATGACGTAGGCGTCGGAGTAGCCTTGGGTGGAATTATATGTGCACACACATCCATCAAATGTTATGGTCACGCTCCGACTGATTCGAACGCTTGCGTTGTAAGCGCACACAAACCGAATGAGGCACAAAGCATTCAACACACATACATAACCGTTGACAGTGGAAACTTTTTGCCAACCCTTGAGTTTCAAAGTTCATCTTTTGGTGATTCTGCAAGTTCTTAGCTAATCTGTCACCTCTGCATAATGAGCGAGCCGAGGAAAAAGCCGTCAGGAACCGCAAGGAACCAATAGTTCAATGGTAGGTGCAACATTTTCCAGACAGCGCATGGACTAGAAAGTTAATCTATCACAGAAGTATAAAGAATCATTTGAAAGACTGTGGAATTGGAAGAAAAGTGGTGCCTCCAATGTCCAAAAAGCAGAATAAGACATGGACACATGGAAAATGAGATGTAAAGGGACAAATATGGATTTCCGACTGGTTGGAACAAAATGGAATGACTTTTCAGTTGTCTTGTTTTTTGCAGATGCTAGATTACATTTTGGTGGGAAAACATGATTTTCTATTAAGTTACTAGTAAAACATCAAGAATAGTCTCAGATTAGCGCAACATATGTCCAGAGGAATAGTGGAGGACCTACAGTAAGATGTCATAGCAAACTTTGCACTGCCCTCTAGTGGAATTCCTCCAACGACCGACTTCACCAAACCTAATAACATACTAATCCTAAACCAAAAGTGGTTCATAAGATTAGTTTCAACTCTGTTCGAACACACCTGTCTGTCATTTTCAACTGAACCTGACGATGATGATGTCCAACTTTATGCGTGTATGATTAGTTGTGAAACAAAACTGTGTAGAAGGAGAAATCCAGACAAGTAGGGCTCATCACTCTGGTCCTAAAGAAATAACACTGTCTCATTCGCTGATCTAGAACGAGTTGATCAAGCAAACCTTTTTAAGCTTGGTTTTGTGACCTAAATAGGCAAAATTAATAGTTAAACAGATCTATGAATCTAATAAATAATGGTATAGCTGCAATCTACATATTAAAAACAATCAGTAAGCAAAGCAGACTGTAATGATTGGCTGTTTTTCTATTGCATAACAGTGCTAGTTCCTCCCGTAAGTTCTACATTTGGTTCTCTTTAGCAGCCTGTGATTGGGAGAAGCCCTCCTCCGCTAAGTGCACAATGACCAGAGACTGACAGGTCTGTGGTGGCTGGGCTAAGCAAAGTACATGGTCCTCAGAGTGTCGTGATGGATCTGCACAGCTTTGGCCAGGGCCTGGGGGTCTCGGCCATTACTCTGGCCTGATACATGGCTGCCTTCCGCACTGTGAAAGAGGAGAAAGAAATGAGCAGAGACCTAAATTTACACTATGAAATACATTTTCCTTGACATACCAAGGAGATGTAAATTTATACAGTATGTACACTACCATTCAAAATGATTAAAAAGTGTTAACTTGAAACATACAGAAATATAAAGAAGAAAAGGGAAAAATCTCCTGTTTTAACACTCCTGGTTTAAGAGTTGTGAAAATGTGAAGATACAGTCTATTGATATAAAATACCACTTTTACAAGGTGTTGCTGATCTGTCTGAGGTGATCTGTCTTTTAGGTGGCTAGCTTGAATAATTCAACTTCCCGAATTCAAGCCATCACTCTGAATCATTGAAATGAAGAATACTGGCTTACTTTGACAAAGAAACACCTGCGGCAACCAAGAATATGCAAAGCCTACTCAAATCAAAGTGATCGACAACTTCTAAAAGCCTTTAATTTGAATCAAATAGAACATTTCTACTTATAGATACCGAGACAGCGACAGTCAGGCGAGTAAATCTCATACCTGTCGTGCTCTTTATCCACTAAATGGTAGCGGGCTCTAAAGGCCACTAGGTGGGCATAGTAGGCAGGCGCAGGGATGGAAACGGAGCGGGTACAGCGTACATATGTGTGGCATAGCTGGTAGGTCAAGAGCTGGAATTCATCGGCTGTAAAGCAGTTGTCGTCCCATAGCACATGGTAGTGTGATGGTCGGCTTGTACCCTGGGTAAAAGAGGTTAAATAATCATTTTGATGAGATGCATCCATCTTCCAAATGGCGAAACTATGAATAGATTTAATAACTCCGTTAATCTATCAATTGATTTAACAGGCAATAATGCAGCAAAAAAAAGCCTAAAATGCACTAATATAGTTGTGCTCATGTTTGTGCGTCCATACCTGTATTCCAGCATGGCTGCACAGATAAAAGTCAAATTCATAAGGATGGGTGATATCAGTGTCCACTGTGGTACCTGCTGGTATGTTACCACTGCGGCCCACCTTTGAAAATAAATAAAGAAGAAAGAAGAAAAGTGAGCGTGTGAGTAAAAAAAAAAAAAATAGAAAAAGTGAGGAAAATCTAACAAAGCTTTTAGGAGAAGTCTCTCATATTCACCCTCTCAGTGCGGTCAGCGCAGAAGAGGCGAGTGTGGTGACGTTTCTGTACGACGATGTAGGTAATTCCCGGTTGATAGTCCTTCTCAAGGCTGATACAAGCTTCGCGTATGGCCAGCAACTCATAGTACAGCACCTAGAAATAAAGACATAAAATACAGTTCAAGAATACGTCTGAATATGGCAGAGCTGCACGATAACGGATAAACTGATAATCATAATTATTTTACTCAAAAATTATAATCTCGATTTTTTTATCACGATTATTGTCATTTTAGAAATTTCTTTTTAGATTTTGTCAGAATTTCCACATAAGCACAAATCAAGGGAATGTCAACTTGCATGGGTTATTTTACCTCATCTAGTTTCCTGATGTATTATTTATTATATAAATTAACACACACTTTACATTATGAAAATTGTACAAAAGGTTCTCTCAAAAACCACAGCAAACAGCGCAGATGACCACATGAAAAACAGATTAACTGTATTACACTTTCATTTAAGAAAAATATCGCAAGTGAAGATCGCCAACTCCAACGTACATTTCTGTTAAGTGTTTTCAGCTCATCAGCGCTTTTTTTTTTCTGGAGAGCCTCACCTGTCTGAACTGTCCCTCAGACACACCGTCCCTGTAGAAGATGATTCTGGTGGGTTTGTAGTGGGTGGACTTGTAGAACTGGATGAGCAGCTCTCGCACCATGGACGCCAGGTCCTGAATCACCTCCTGTCTGGGCCTCTGGACACGGACAGTAGCGCAGTACCTGCTGGGGTGAGCGTCCATGCTGCCCACCACCTGTGTGAGAACAGGCAGAAAAAGAGCATTTCTTTGAAATATCTACAGCTGTTCAACAACAGTCTAACTTTCAGGTCCCTAATGAGGATATGAGTTTAGGTTTTGCAATAATAGTGATTAAATAATGTGAATAAATCATTTTAAAAATGTGATTAAATAGTAAAGTGTTTGATATAAAAGGTGTGCATATGTGTTCTGTTTTTCTCACGGCTGCAATGGAGGGTTTCTTGCTGTCTCCTGCAGGTGGATGAGTGACATCAGCTCCCAGAAAAATAACAGGCTGCTGGAACACAGATGGGCTGAAAAACAAACAACATAAATTCACATAAAGAGGTGTTTGGTACATTTAAGGACATTGTGTTTTAACCAAGGAAACACAATTTTTCAGTGTAAACTGATTCATTTTATTCTCTTACCGCTGATGGGGTACCAGTATATTGTTGATGCCACCCAGTTTGACATTGATCTTGAGACAGAGGTTGGAGAGGGTCTGAGGGGAGGTTTTCACCACGTTCTTCACCTGAACGCACTGTGTGGCCATTCCCAGAAGAGTGTCTCCAACACGTTTCACTTCCGCTGGAGAAAGAGAGCATAGACTTCAGTGCAACAGTGAGAATAGACGCCATATTTAATTCATTTAAAACTGAAATCCTGTCTGTGAAGAATACAAGTACAGACTGTGCTGAACTCAATGTGTTGAACTGTTGCATATACATCTGGGTGTCAATCATGAAAATGTGCATTATTTTTTATAACACAGAATAATATTTTATTAAAATATATAATTACAGATTTTATATATACACTAAAACTTAAAATAATAAAGTCCTTTATAATGTTAAAAAAGAAATCATACATTATCCCTGACATACCAAGGAGATGCAAATGTATACAGTATGTACAATGCCGTTCAAAAGTTTGGGGTCGGTATGATTTGTTTTTTTGAAAGAAATATATACTTTTATTCAACAAAGACGCATTGAATTGATCAAAAGTAATAGTAATTTGATTTCTAATAAATGCTGTTCAGTTGAACTTTCTATTCACAAAGAATCCTGAAAAAAACATCAGTTTCCATAAAAATATTAATCGGCACCGATGCACATAAATGAACCGAACATCAGGTTTAAAGGCCATTTTTTCTGCTAAAGTTTAAATCAGAGACACTATTAAAACGTATGCATTAACACTCTCATACTGGCAAGTCACAAGAAAAGGAAGATTCGCCCCACTAATTCTAATCTAATGATGAGGACTTTAGGAAACTTAATGATCAAATAAACATCTGTCCATATATAGTTACCATAGACTGGAGTTTTCCCAGGCAATATGACGATGATGAGTTGGAGGCCAGCATAAGTGTTTTTGAGGTGGCGGAACATGGGCTCCACATTATCTGCTCCCTGAGCGTATTTGCAGAAACATGGCTGGCCCTGTATGGGCATCCCTGCGTCCTTAGAAATCTTCCGCAGCTGGTCTGTAAAACCCCTGCAAAAAGACAAGAGAGACACTTCAGCATTTCTGATTTAGTTCAATTAATAAATGGTACTTTGTAAATGACAAAAAGATGGAAAAAGCTTTACTTGAGAACTTCCTCTCTGCATTGTCTCTGAGTGGCAAAGCAAGCAATGGCCCACATCTTGATCTCCACACCAGTATGAAACTGCTTGCCTCTCATGTCCCACACACCATGACTTGGGGTGGCCACTGTACGATTCTGTAACACATGTATTCAAAGGTTGTCTTCATTTGTTGAGATCAAATAGTGCACGAACTCAAGCAGTATAGGGTGTTAATGTTTGGCCAAACTTACAGTATATGTATTTCTATACAGCTGTCATGTTACAATGAATTATTCACGGTTATTCACAATTTGCCATAACACACATAAAAAATAATAAAAGGAAAATGCATTTTCCAAATGCAAAAGCAAGATATTTGAAAAGACAGAAAAAGCAAGCAATTAAACACAAGCAACAGACCTTATTCTGTTTAAAGGAACCCACACAGCAACTCCCCTCAAATTGTAGACATTAAAATTAGCACACATCAATTACAATAATAAATGTTAAATCTAGACACAAACCATGACCAATTTCTAGCCTTCTATTCAAACACAAACAAACATACGGTGCATGAGTGAAAGGGAATGGGTACCATAAAGTGTTCAGAGCTCACCCTGCCGCCATACTGCAGCATAGGGGCGGGCAGGACACGACCCGTCACCTCCGCCATCTCATCCCGCACACGGAACTGGAACTCCTGCACGAAGGGGTCCGAGTTGTAGTTGGCACTGCGCACCTATGGATTCAGAAAGATTAGAGTTGGGACTGATTGAAAATCCTTGGGACAGATTAGGTTTTCCGCCTAGATACCATGAAGAATAGAGATGTTGTTTTTCCATGAAAGCAGCATTTTGGTAGTCTACATTCTTGAAGAATTACTGCAGCATCAGAGAGCGACACACTGAACTCACCAGTCTGCTGATCTCTTCTTGTCTGTCCGGTGCGGAGCGGGCTGTGGCTTTGATCATGGTGGAGGTTTGGTTGTCTGTTAATTTTTTAATGCAGCGCTGGCCTGCCACAATGTTGCACACCTGAGTGATAAAGAGGACAATCACTTTTGGATCCATTAAAATGGATCAAGAAATCTGAAAATCTTCTACAAGTGTAATTTAGTGTCTAGAAATGAATCCATAAATCAGAGAAGAGATGGTGGCTGTGGAAAAAAATGGTAGCTAATGTAACTGATCAAATATCTTGACTCTCACCTCCAAAGGCAGGTACGTGTGTTTCTGCTCCTGCCCCACTTGCAGGCAGGGTAGATGAGGAAATTTGAGCTGCAAGTTGTACTTTTCTCTGAAGTATTGTGCCACTGTTCTCTCCACTGTCTGTCCATTTTCCAACTGTAAAGGAAACCTGACCAAGTAAAACAAAAATTGAAAAAAAAATTAACGGGGAGCTGGGTTGACAAGTTTTAAACAAAAAAGTACGAAAAAATTCTGAAATGGTTTCTTCACTACATCTTGAAGGAATAGTTCACCCAAAAATGAAAATCTGATGAAAATTACTAGGGATGCACCGATACCACTTTTTCCAGTACTCGCCCGATACTTTTATTTTTGGTACTTGCCGATACCAAGTACCGATACCAATATTTTTATTGAATTTGTAATTTTTTTAAATATTGGGTACAGAAACCAAAAGGGTATGTATAATGTTAGTTGGTTAACTTCATTTATCAAATAGATACAGTCAAACCAAAATTTATTCAGACACCTTCAACATTTCTCACATTATCACAGTTTATTCGCTATAGTTTAGAAAATGGTAATAAAATATGACAAGAACTCAGAGTTAAACTGTGTCAGAACAAATTCAGCTTGATAATGTCAGATAACTTTGATAGAAAGGTATGTAATGGATTACAATAAACCAAAAATGATTAAGACAGCTGTTAGTATGACAGTATTTACACAACTATCAATACTTAGTCAGGCAGCCCTTAGCCTTAATGACAGCCTGTAGTCTCCTGGGCATGCTGTCACCCAGCTTCATGCAAACCTGAACTTAATTTTGTCTGAATATTTTTTGGTCCCAAATTTTTTTTTTATCAGTTTTACTGGTAGTCCACCGTATGAAGAATTTTTGGGTATAATTTATCACAGTTTACTTTATTTTGCTATCCTCTCTTACATAAATGAACTATAGTGTCCTGCACCCACTAAAAAATTATAAAAAAAAAGATATCTGGTCTCTGAATAATTTTTGGCTTGACTGTATATCCTTCAGTTATTTTCATACTTAATTATGGCCATTAAAACGTATTTTACAAGTTTTTGTTACTTTCACTGTTAATTTTTTTTGCTCTGTGGTACATCATCTTTAATTTAATAGCATTAGAGCTGCTCCATTGCAGCGGCTCAGTACTGTAATCTCACGCTTTGCTGTAATAATGCAGGGAACCACTCGCTATAAATCTCCTAACGGTGATAATTTCAGAAATAGAAGTCGCGTTTTTTTTTCATCTGAAACATGCAGCGATTTATTTTCCAAAGCCACTCATATAATGCAGAAACATTCAGGAAGCAAGCAAAACACGCGCAACGCGTGCACGTATTTGTACTGGTGCAGAATGAGAGGGACAAGTAGTACAGCCTAGCGCATTTCACACAGGCTGTTAGTTTCACTTTCACCTGAAAGTCGTGTATGCCTAAGATTAAAAATAAATGTTTATAGTGAATGCCCCTATAAATGGTCTTATTTTTACGATTTAGTTTTAATCCAAATTATGTGTGTGCTAAGTGAGTGAACATCAAAGATCACACAACAGAAGTGCGTGCTCTCTCTCTCTCTACCGTTAAGTAACTTGTGCATTGTTTTACTTACTTGTTTATGACACATCCGACCGAACTACAAACTTTCCAGTGATGTCTGTGAGAAAGGTATATTCACTCGACAAGCTCGGGCATCTGCGCTGCCACACGCTCAATCCACTCAGTGTGCTTTGTTTATCAGCTCGCGCACATCAGCTATACAGGTGTTAATACTGAATGTTTAACATTATATTCATTGCATACATATACTTCGTAG